TTAAATTTTAAATATTCGTTTTTTGTTCGATAGCACATGCCGCATGTATATTTTCTCACATAGAATTAGCTCGAGAACGATCTTCTACATAGGAAAGGACCTATTGCGCTTTTTATCCTTGCGATCCACTGCCTTCAAACTTAATTACATTTCATATTTGTATAATAAAACGGAATGAAAGAAAAGAAAAGCAAATTAATAGAGGGGCAAGAAAGGCGTGCCACGACTCGAATTGGGGCTTTGGTTTCGCGTGTAAGGATTCTCGTGTAACTTATTGCTTTGTAAAATGCAGATCTCCTATTTAATTATTTGAGAGTGTTTCTTCGTCGAACCTACTTTCCTCCCAAACCTCTCGTCTTGAAGTTAAATTGGCAAAGCGACAGCAAAAAGTTCGCGGGAAGAAGTCAAAGAGAAAGAAATAGAGATGGGAGATGAGATAGCTAGCATGAGTTGGTTATCAAATTAACCATCACACATAAACCAAGTCACGCATACACGCGATCATTGTCCGCATCCTTTTCGACTTTCTTCTTTGAACTGTCAGACATTGATTTCCCGCGGGGTAGTCTTGCTCGCCAAAGTTCCAAAGTAAAGTTAAGCTCTTTTCCTTCTGTTTGCCGCACTCCATTCCCTTTCAACTCTCCCTGTCGCTCTGTTTCTTCATCGCTTCTACCAGACTCTCTCTCAGTTAGATGAATAAAGTAAAGGACGGCAATTAAATTGCGACTAAGTTGCTGTCGCTTCCATGACAACGGCGAGGACAAATAAGGATGGATGTGCATTTGGATTGCAAAATCATTCTCTTCGTGAGGTAAGTTCTCACAAGCTATATTAAGCGAAAACAATTAGAATATAATAATATCATCTCATTAACAAATTTTGCAAAATATGTGAATTACTTAAAAGGTTTTAATAATCTTGTTATATATAATTTTTTGACATACATTTGCATAAGATATATAGATTGCAATTCGAACAATAATCAACAATAATTTTATCTACCACTATAATTTGATCATTTCATGCGATGTTGATTGATTTCGCGCGATAAAATTTTTATTTTTTTCAGTGTTATTTGCTGCAGTAGTGATAACATACATTTTGATGATTGATCTAATAATTAATACATATATTGGATTGACAAGGAAGTAATTGCGTTTTTTTTTAGTTAAGTACAACTTAAAGTTGTATGTACAATATCTTCGTCAATAATGAATTTTATGATGAAATTTAAAAAAGGGGTTTTAAAGCTTAAAATCTCTACTTTTAAAAGCTTACCACATTTTTTAAGTTTGTATGGAGTTTGGTAATTTTTACATATCAAAAACTACGAACTGAAAAAGACGGAAAATTTTCTTCTCATTTTGTTTATAATGTGCCCAAAACGAATTTGAAAAAATTTTCGACTACCTTGACACTTTCCCTACAAAATCATTTTTTAAATATTCCTACGATTTTGGTTACTGAGTTATCGCGGATTAAATAAAAGGATCATTTTGATTTTAATTGCTCATAACTCCGTTAAAAATTATCGTATCGCAATTTAAAAAAGAGATTCTTAAAACTAAAACTTTACTCTATCAAGATATATTTACATTGGTTAGTACGAAAATAATTGCGGTTTTTACTGATAGATGCCTTTTAAAAAAACGCAATTACTTTCTTGCCAACTCAATATGTATATGTGTTTCATATAGAGCGAGTAAAAATTCAGCCTCGGCATGATTATTAGAGATTATGTTATGCATACGACTTCCAACTCGCTGTTATGCTCTGATTAATTACCGCGCTACACGCTAAAGCTTGTACATCGAGAATCACATAATTGTCGCTATTAGCGAGTCAGAAAAAAATACAAAAACAAAGTTAGTAAAGCTCGTTATGAGAGAAATGCGAAAAAGAGGAAATTACCACAATATGCAGTTTTTGCTTCTATTAAATCTATTCTATTGTCAAATGTGATGGAATACTTCAAAGTTTTTTGTAAGAATTTCATTTTTTAGTCTCTTATTTTTTACAAAATGTTTTTTAAAAAATTGCTCAAATATACTGTTAAACATCAAAATGACAATCCAATTCTTTTAATTTCCAAACTTCCTTGTGTGTCAAAATATAAGTCAATTTATTTTTATGATTAGTTTCAAAAAACTAAATTCTAGTCAAATATTTATTTTAGTTAAATTAACGAAGCAGTGAAGATCTAGAAACGATTAAAAATTGCTCAAATTGAATATAACATCACATTATGAATTTAATATTGCAAGTATTATGACATATTAAATGACATTTATTATAAGATGACTTCTAATACAAACTTATCACTCATTCAAAAATTGGCAATAAGCAAAAACAAATTCTCGAGTTTTTAATTTTCAAATTTTCAAGCGCATCATAAGTCCGATAAGCTGTTTAAAGCGGACTAAACACGTCGATTAAATTGGTATTTGCTAATTTGTTGTTACGTATTTTACAATTGATTTGTACCTATTCACTCACTAATTCGTATTATAACTATTGATCGCTACTTAATCCGCTATATAGAAAGCACAAGCTGCGCGAGTTCGTGTGGGTTTAATCGTAACATTTAACAGTCTAGTTTAGCGATTGTCAACTTTGTTATGAAATCAGTTGTTTGTATAAATTATTATTGTGTTATCATTGCTGAAAGATTTACAACGAAGTTAATAATAATCATCAGTTCGCTCAATAGTGTAAACTAGCTTTCAAATCAAAATTTCACGCTTTGTTACTTACATAAAAATCATCTTCATAGTGTGTGAGCTTATATCAATTCTTCATTATCTGAATACTTCTCTCATGATTATTGGCTACGCAATTCTCGTATGAATATACAGTATAGTAAACAACAAATTAAATAATACAGGTAGATTCTATTTCATTTGGAGAGTTATACAACTGAGAAAATATTTGTACTTTTATTTGCGCTGTTTTGTAAATAAATCGATCTTTATATGGCGCCGTTGAGAAAGAAGAAACAACGCGCTACAAGCTTTCTTTTTTAAAGAAAGAGATTTGCTTTTGCAAATATTCTCGAGAAAAATTTCACGTGCCAATGATTTCTGATACAGCTTTATTAATAATTGATTTTAATCTATCGACTTTAAATAATGTGTTAAATAAAACATATTAAATAAAGTAAAAAATAGAATAATAAAATAATAGCTACAAACATGTGTAATTCATAGATATTATTTATTAAGAGTAGTAAATGAGACAGTAAAAGCTATAAGAAATTTTAATATAAGAGTTCTAGTAGTATTTAGAGAGAGCTGGCACTTATTAACTCTCACTTATAACTCTCTCGCCGAGCAATTCGCGAAAATTTATAAGAATGTACATCATGGAGAATGTATGCCGAGTCTACTGCGCAAGAATGAATTGTCTTTTTTTCATTTGATTTTTACATTCTTGAAACTCTGTAAAAATCTGTAACAAACATCAACCTTGTTACGCGGTTTATGAAACAGCAAATATTCATTAATTTAAAAAGTGTTTTTAACAAAGAATTCCTAATTTTACGAAATCATGTACGGCGAGTATCCATAAATAATTTCATCCTATACTTTCAGTGAGCGCGACAATTATGATTCGCGTGACACAATGTCGATACGAATCAGGGATTATCACGAACCGTGTCTTATATACGGCAAGCGTGTTACATACGCGTTACATAGCGCCTCATGAATTTTTCATTGCGAACACGTAGCCGTCCACAGGCTCGTGAAACGTCGAAAGTCATTGCTCTTGTCGGGAGATCAATAAGAGAATGAAAAATCGTGCGTCTCGAAAAGATTAATGTCTTATATAATCCCGCATCAGCGTTGATTTATTCCGTATAATACGACGTGCAGGGCACTCGTTACGGTGGTACAGTGGCCCAAGATCGAACGTGACTCACCTGAAGCCTACTTTTAAAAGGCAAAATTCATATCAATGAGAATTTAATCAAATCTCCTTCTATACATTTGCAAAAAGAACTGTAAATCTTCCTACAAGAATCTTTCTCGATATTTATTTTTTCGATCCCGATAAGATCTTAAAACCGCAAAGGTCTGTCAATTGTCACATAGAAAGCCTAATGAACGTATCTCTTTCTTCACTCTTAACATTCTATCCTTTGATATGGAAAAAAGAGCTTTAATGGATGTCTGACTGCGAATGGATAAATGGATTTATCAGTGGAACTGAGATAGGAAAAAAATAGATTAAAGGAACGCTAGGGATTGAAACGTCGATATTTCATCGAATTCGTTATACAAGCTTTGGATGTCATCCTGTATCTCTCGACATAGTGCTTTATACACTCAATACGCAGGACAATATATAGAAGAAAATACATAGCGTGATAGCACGCAAACTACGGATAAAAGAAATAAAAATAATATTTCGATAAATTACGCAGACTTTGAGAGCATTTTGAATAAATTTTCAAATGAATAGTCTACACAAAAAGCCTAAATTGAGCTTTTTTTTACATAAATCGAATCAAAATTGTTCTCTGAAGAATCGGTTTATTGAAAGATTTTGTTATAATTTTTTAAAAATAAATCATAGAAATGTAAAAAAATTTAGATTTTAATTTTGTTATCCGTCGAAAATGTTATCACGTTACATCTTGTTAAATATCTACTGCGGAAATAACGAAGGCGGATGTTATGTTAACGAACGAACAGAGCAAATAGACATGCCCGGGCTTTTTGGCTGGAAGTACAGAGAAAAGTCGAAAGAGCCAGGTTGATATTTTCGCCAGACTCATTTCGCTGAGCAAATGGCGTGTGCGCCACTTTAAATTTTAATCGCTCCGAGCGGCAGGCGTTTCCGCGCACATTCGCGATTGTAAAGGCGACATAATGAGCGCGCGCGAGCGTGCGGGTTCCGAGCTCTGGGCGACGTCGATTAACTGAGGATTACTTTAATTAACTTTACGCTCGCAACGTAACGATGCGAAGCACAACCAGTAGAACTGTGCTCAAGTCCAAACGAAGCTCGAGCGATTCTTCACCAGGACGAATCGTACCGCGTTAATTCGTTAAGATCGAAAATTTTCGTCTCGCGCAACCAATATAACAACCAGTTGTTAAGATAACAGAAATTGTTAAGATAATGACGATTTACGTGATTACAAGGGATACAAACTGAAGCAATTTGTCGCGAAATGCATTAAGTCGGTAAGAGATGTACCATTACTTTATTTGAGAGAATAAATTTGTTTAGTGCAAATTCTTGTCTTTCTCTCTCGCTTTCAAGACTTATAAGCGATTTTATGCAGGATTACTCATCGCTTGCAGATGAAATAAATTGAAAAATTGTCAAAAGTAACAGTATAAAATTAAAAAAAACTATACATATTTTCTTATGTGAAATTTAGAAATAATTGTTCCACGGGTTTATTCTCCAGTAAATCATTAAAATCCAAAATAGAACAAGAAAACAGTCAGAAATTACAAATTTTGATAGGCTTTAAATAGGTTGTAGATCAAAAATATTATATTATCTCCATTTTTTAATCTGTTTATTTCAATTCTTAGGCCATGAAACAATCCTTGAGGATAAGATTAAATTAATTTGACATTTTCAAAAAATATGAATACATCGTTATTAAAAATATAAAATACTATAAAATATACTTTTGTACAAAATATTTTTTCATATATTTTAACAGTTTCAAAGATATTAAAAATTAAAAAATGTATTATTTTCGAGATGTTGTTTCAAATCGTAAATTTTGAAATAAGCAGATAAAAAAACGGAATGTAGATATTTTTTTACATATGCAAAACCTAGCAAAATCGATAAAAGATCCAACACGCAACGATTTTCTTGTAGGTTGTATTCAGTTTATTATAACGTGTCTTGACAAACAGAAGAGTTAAAAAGCTAGTCATAGTTGTTTGTAAATCGGTTCAGAATTCTTACGAAACTTCCATTATCAAGATACCTTTATCTCATCAACAATAATGGCGTCCAAAATCGGTGAAAAGTTCTATCGTGAAACAGCCAGTTGCAAAGTGAAAAGTTATTTTCCGTTGTTAGGAACATAACATTCATAAATTAATTGCATTCACGATGATTTTGTGCAAGTAAAGCGACATTTCGAAATATAAGCATGAAATGCAACATGATAATAAATATCAACATGATAATAGTATTCTTGTTGATAATGACACATGAGATAATTAATAATAAAACATTAAATAATTATTATATACTATACTATAATATATTAAGTAACTTAGGAAGGATATTAATAAATTTAGAAGTTTTGTTACAAACATATAAATACTGATATACAATATTTGTCCAAACAGTTTATTTAATCATTTTAAATTATATTAACTTCACAAAAATTTCAATTTGGACTAACAATATTCTATTAAAACGTTTGGATAATTCAATGTACTTCGTTTACGAATATAAATGTCTGTTATATTGGAATTATTCTTGTATTTATCAATTGAAATCAAAATAGAAATTAATCGTGGAATAAGTGCGTGACGTTCGCTAGTAGTTAATAATATATTAAGTTTGATCAGTATTCTTATGATTAATTAATAAGTTAACGTACATGTTGAATAACAATGGATCAATGAAGTATTTAAAGAAAATGAAGTGAATGATTTCTATTGTATGATTAAAATTTGCGTCATAAAAAGTAACCTGGTTAACTGAATATTTAAACTGTTTGAATAAATAATAATCGATGTCACGATATTATCAAACATATATACTTGTTGGACAAAGTCTCGAAGTAAATTTGCTTTTAAGATGTTAAATATGAAGCAGTTATATACAAAAGGAAGTAATCCAGTGGAAATCCAATGGAATTTTCTTAATAACGATATGATAGATTTGTTAACAAATTACGTGTTTTATAAAGTTAAAAATGTACGTTATTCTCTTTATGATTGCAGCAGCAATCAAAGATTAATTTACTAATGTATCACGTCTGAATAAATTCAAATGAATCATTAGAGACTTCTGCAAAGCCACAGCTTTGAAATGTCAGATTATCTCATATCGCACGTATTCCAAGAGAACTGGAACTATCCGCTTCGAAACGCAATCAGCTTAACTTTGAAATGCAATAAATCCCTTTGACGCATCGTGTGCTTGTTGTTCCCGTTATTGAATCGCCGAAAGCGCACGATTAAGACTCTGGCCGATAAATTCCCTTTTTTCAGAAGCAAAAAAGTTGATGTAAAAAGCGTATCTTTTGGACTATGCTTTGCCTATCCAATAAAAAAAGCGAAGACAAAATTCCCATTGCCTATGTTTCTGTCTTTCTTAATAACGTTAATGGATTCTGACGATGGTGGATAGGATATGAATAAATCAAGTCGTACGGACCGATTGAATAGTTCAACTCGACTGCTTGATATTTTCACACCAACGACAATTAATAACTATATCATCGCGGTTTGTTTGAGACTCACATATATCGTGGACGTGCGACGTGAGATAAATCGCGACAAATTTTCGTGTGTAAAAATATCGGCTCATTACTAAAACAATCGAGAGCATGTTGAAGATGAAAAAACAAAAGTAGCACTAGGATATATCTCTATTCCGGACATGGAACATTAATCACTAGTGAGAACAACAGCCTGTTGCTTGTTAGTAATCAGTAAAAGAAGACTTACAGATCTTCAATCATCATTTCGAGATGTAATGGTACTTAATTTGTACCAGTTTATCATTAACGACAGTCGGATTAAGGTCAATTAAAGCGAAGACGGTGGTGAGTGGTCTGTACCGTAGCTCTGGAGTTGATTATGGAGTAACAGAGATATATTAGATCTAGATTGATCAGACCGCATCGATAAGACGCAGTTGACTCGGTCCAACGCGGTTTCGATTTCAGAAGTTATCAGTGTTCAACTTGTCGCGGACGATGAAAGAGCTGACTGATAATAGTCGCTTAATTGCAACCTTCGTGTATCGATAAGTAGGTATGAGAATAGAACAGTGGAAAAAAATGTAAAATAACAAAAATTAAATTAATTATTTCGAACTGTCAATCGAAGCGTGCAATCGCGGTGAGTGTATAGACGGTGGATAATAATTTTCAATCAGTAATATTTCTTTGAAATAAATTTTAAAATTATGTACATAAAATTATATACGTATATATAATAAATACAACTTCTTGTGGAACAAGTAATATTGCCATGCATTTCTACTTGTGAATATATTCGTTTCGACCGTGATTTGAAAAATAAAAAATAAAAAAGAGAAGAGAGAGAGAGAGAGAGAGAGAAATTGTGAATAATTAAAATAATTAAAATATGTTAGAATCACGGTTCTCACATTTTGACAGGAGCTTCACTAAATCTCAAGGCTGGAAATTTCATTTGTTTTAATATTCAAAAAATAATCCTAATATTTAAAATAATTAAACATTATTAAAAAGTCGTAGCTTGAAAAACAACTACAAACATTTGAAAAATTCAATGAATATTAACTAAAAAAGAGTGATACGCCGATCACATTCTATCAGATATGTTTCAATTGTGATTGTTTCCCTTTTTAATTGGCAATTCCAGTTTTCTGAAAAAAATCTCCGACTATTTATTTTTTTACTCTAAATTTTGATAAATTTTTTAAGTGCGCTTTTTTTAAGTCGATTTTCCTTCAATCAAGAAAGCAAAAATTAGATCGTTTTTATTTCGCAAGCAAAAAGAACGAAAAGATAATAACAATTTCGGTAATACTGCTCCATCTTCAGCAAGATACTGGAATCTTTAGCAAAACAGCCATCGATATTTAGCGAAACATTTGTCGAAAAATGTAATGGCAACTATATATGGTTTCAACATATCGTATTATTTTCAATTGAAAGTATCGATATCCGAGTGACCTGAAATTAAGAGTATTCAATAAAGAGGAAACTACTTGTTGGATTCATCGTTGAAGGCTGAAGCTTTGGAATCAGAAGAAATAGGGCAGCCGTTTCATTCTCGTCTCACATGGCTGCAACCACGAGTGTAAGTGACATAGTTCCGTTCGCGCATCGTAGCTGTAATGCGCTGCTGTTCCGATTTTGTTATCGCGTAAAGAACAAAACCAACATGTTTCATGAAATATACAATATTCCAAAATTTAATTTACGTATATTATTAATTGTACTTGTATTCGCGGTCAGACTTATATATTAAATAAACAAATTGTTTATTCTTAATAATTTTTTAGTGTATATATATATAT